GCGCTCCCTTTGGGATCCCTCTGAGCCCCCCCCGCCTCCCCCCGCCCGGACAGCCGCTGGACTTCGGGACGTCCTTTTCAAAGACCACAGGCCGCGGTCGGTGCTTTTGTTCCTTGCTAAGAGTACAAGCTGCTGTCCTGTGGTGCAGGAGCGGATGGAGTGACAGGCGAGGACTCGGGGGACCTGGGTTCGAATCTCCCCTGAGCTATGGAAACTCACCGGGCGTGTGGGATTGACTGGTAAAGCCGCTCTTTAAATCGCTCGCCTTGAGAGCCCTCTTAGGGCCGCTACAAGCTGGATCTCACTCGACCGCACAAAATAACAAATCCTTTGGGGAGTTCCAACTAGAGTAGACCTGTTGACTCGTGGGGCTTTACATAACTTGGAGTCGCTGTGTGCCCTTGAGTCAGAAGTGACTTTTAGCGACCCTCGGTGGGTTTTCCAGGAAAGTGAGGAATTCAAGGAGTGGTTTTACCAGTCCCTTCCCCCCTCCCCCCAGTTTCCATGGCAAAATGAGAGGCTCAAACCCACGTCGCCTGAGTCCTGTGTATCCACAACCCCACATTGGGCACCCAAGCGTTGACTTATATGAAGAGCAATGGATTCAATGAGTCTCTTCATAGGTGCGACGTGGAGGAGGGCCCTGTCTCAGGGTGCAGCTCCACTGTTGAAATGAATGGAGAAATCTACTGGGGTTTCTTGAAGCTGATTTAAAGCCATGTGGTTTTTTTTTGGGGGGGGGATGTGCTTCCTCTTGGGACAGCTTTCAGTCCATCTGTAAGCTGTGCAATACTGTATATCACTCCTGGGAACTACACAGGCTTTGAAATTGTTGCATTTTAAACCAATTTACACCTTGGCACTCCAGTCCCAATTTTTCTGGATCCTTCATCATGTCCAAAAGCCATGTTCTTTTAAAAATTATTTTTGATATTTACTTTAATATGTTTTAATGTATCTCAATGTAGCATACTGCTAGATCAATGTTACAGAATGGGAGAAAAGTAAGAGTTTGGACTACAACGTATCCTACCATCCAAACTCAGTGATCCCGGCACCCAGTACTCAGCCAAAAAAAAAAAAAAAATCTGCTTAGTTGTGTATCACATAAGCTTTGTTTTGGCTATATAATTCGAATGTTTGAAATCAAAGCTTTCATCCTGTATCTTCATATGGGTATTATTTTTTTTCCTGCTATCCCTTTGATATATCTCCAGCAGTGCACAAAGTACACTACACCAGCAAATCCACCTGCACCCATACAGAGCAGCAGTTTACTGTTATGGAATTGTCACTTAATTGTAAACCAAAAGGTGCTTGTATGCTGTTGTGTACGTCCTTGCTTACGTAAGCTGTAACCTCTGGTTCTAGCTCAGGGAGTCTTTCTGGCCACAGTGCCTCTAACACCATATTCCCTCCTTCTTCAGTTGCTTACCCACAAGACATGGTTTCCCATTACCCCCAGAGCAAGATTGCTTCCCATTATAGTTTACCTGTTCAGCCTATCCTCTTTGCTCTAGGATGGATGAGACCTGCCATGATGGACAAGGTGGCAGTATGATGTAGCAGAAACTTCCCATTGGAGGAAACGTGTGGAGGCCGTAATCAATTGTAGTAGAATAATTGTGGAAGACTGGATGGTCAAAAATGATATTTGGAACAAAATGGATAGTTCTTCTAGTTCTGGAACAAGATTCAGAAAATATAAATAAAGCAACTAAGAACTTCGATGTGTCATTATAGGTGAGCATTCCAAACCAAAGCAGTGAGGACCTTCTGTGCATGCATGAACAACATGAATGAACAATATTCTTTTGAGCTGTAGTCTTTTAAAATCCAGTTAAGTCAACTGCAGCATCCTCAACCCAGAGCATTGCTGAATGGTGCCAGAGTAGCATCACCTGTGGCCCAACATACAATTTGTTCCTGCCTTCTATCCACATCTTACAATGCAGTGTAATCTATTGAAATCTGGTTTTGTAGAATGAAAAATAGGGGATTAATTATTATGGATGACTGAATAAAAGAGAACATATAGAGGTGTGTTATGGAATTAGAATTACAGAGAAACAAATCTCACAGTAATCGGAAATATTTATGTGTGGGTGTCCTTCTATCCTGTTAACAAGTCATCACTGAGGGGAGCATACAGCATAAATAGAAAGATCTTTACCTGTTGTCAAGAAGATGGTTTCAGGTATAAAAATAAGAAAAGGGCCTTTTCTGGGCTGATGCCCTGACTCTATCGTATCCTCTGCCAGGAAGTCTGGTCAGCGTCCAAACTGTAATCTCTCTGTGCAAAAATTGAGAGGCAGATATTTTCATTTGTCCAAGCTTTTAAAATTAACCATCTTGGTTTTGTTAGAGGTATTGCTTAGTTGTCGCCTCACATTTTTTATTGCTTGGATTATGGTCATTTTTGTTGGTTTTTAAACACAATTCTTTTTTTAATGTATAATACACTGCTCTGGAGTACACTTTGGATGATATAGCAGCACTTCGCAGAATTATAAAAAGTGCTCCTGAACATCTGGTAAACCCTGATTCCAATAAGTGTTTTGAAAATACATATGCTGCCCTTCAGCTACAGAAGCTCCCGGGTAATAAAGACAAACAAGTGGGTTGTAGATCAAAGCAAGCCTAATATCTTTCTGGGAGTAGAAATAAATGACTTTTGGAATTTTATAGGGAGACAGGTAACAGTAGAGTTCCCCTTGACATTTAGTCCAGTCGTGTCCGACTCTACGGTGTGGTGCTCATCCCTGTTTCCAAGTCATAGAGCCAGCGTTTGTTTGTAGACAGTTTCCATGGTCACATGGCCAGCGCGACTAGACATGGAACGCTGTTACCTTCCCACCGTGGTGGTACCTATTTATCTACTCGCATATGTAAAATACATGTAAAGCTTTTGAACTGCTAGGTTGGCAGGAGCTCGAACAAACAACGGGAGCTCACTCCGTCACATGGATTCGATGGATACTGTTGGTGGTGGTTGCAAGCTTCGCCGTGGGAGGTAGGATGATGTAGGCAAAGAGCCTCCGCCTCCTTCCCAGAACAGCTCCTTAATGGCTTCTATTCATTTTTGATTTTTACGTAAATGTAATTTAGCTATAGTGTGTATTTTTTTTTAATCCCCCATTTAATTTTTAGACACTGATTTCTGTCACTGAAGCCTAGGAATAGTAAATAAGTAAAGACAATACAATGCATACAAATCTATTTGAAACAAGACTAAGAGAACACAGCACAGGACCAGCAATGAAACAGAAACAAAAGACAAACAGAAATTGAATGAAAGCCTAGGAATCATAGACTAATGAAGTTGGAACTTATAAGGCCATCAAGTCCAATCCCATGCTCAATACAAGAGAGAAAGATCTAAAATACTTGAGAGAATAAAATCTTCACCTGACACACATAAAAAGGCTTAAATTTTGGGAGACAAGACATTGAGGTCTCCAAATTTGGGTGCCACCACTGATAAGCTGGATGGTATGCAGTCCTAGGAAACAGCTTCAAGCAGTCAGCTTTCTAGAACTATCTTCCTATGTGGGCACTTTCCTGTGAGGGTCAGCCAGAGCTCAGAACTAATAATTAGCATTGATTCAAACAGAATTCCTGAGTTGATGCTTTTCAGATTTCCTCAAAGGAAAGTTCCTGTTAGTGCAAGTTAGCAGAGTTTTGTTTCAGTCCAGGCAGTCCAGTTGATTCACACAGACAAAGACAGCTTGTCCCAACACCAAGTGTATTTACAGTGTATACAGAAGTTCAGCAGTACAAACCAACAGCATGATAGCATGGCATTCATAGAAGAGATACGTACATCTTCTCCACAGGTCCACACAGCTATACACATGCACATTTACATTTACATACAGCCAATCAGTATGGACATTGCATCATCCCAGACTACATGAGTCAGCATTTTGCGCACCTGTCAAGTATGGCTGCTGATTAGCATAGGCCTTGTTCTGCCTCAGTGTGGAATTATCCTTGACAATTCCCATGGTCAAAATCCTCTTGAATGGCTGCACAGATGGCATAACCTTTGGAGGCAAATTGCTCCAAGTTAAGAATTCACCCTATATATTATAAGTTTTGCCCAGTAAGTCACTTTCTCTCCAAATGTTATGTCACTTGCTTGTGTGACTGACTAAAAGGATTTGGGCCACTAGGTTTAGTCGGAGTGGTTAACTGTTTATAGGATTGTAGCTGGAAGTGCACTGCGCCTCTCCTGTTTAAAAAAAAAGCAGGATATAAGAATGCTTTCCTTTTTCTGGATTGTGCAATTTTTCTAGGATTTTTTTTTTTAAATAAGGGTTTAATGACAATGGATGAGTCTAAAAGTAATATCTTTGGAAAGTCTAAACAGAAGGTCTGCCTTGTATATATGATGCATTTGTGCCAGCATTATAGGAACCAGCTGTGAGGACTGAACTGCATTCACTAACTTTAGTGGTTTGGGAAGGGACTGTCATTCTTATG